GCACCGGTGTCTCGAAAGCTGAGGAGCAGGGAGTTAACTTTGGATGACCTCAGGATGCCATTGTCATCAGCCCTCTCTGCCTGTCAGCCACCAGCCAGGGGTCACAGAGGGAGCAGGTGCAGGGGCAGGAGGGCAATGTCCACAAGTGAGGGGCTGAGGTGAAATGGATGTGCATACCGCGTCTGGAGGGGACTGCCAGGATTGAACTCCAGTTGATCAGGGGCCATTCTCAAGTCAGTAAAGAGGCCATTGCATGGAATATCTCAGAAGGTACAGACCTGGGTTTATGTGCTGTCCCTCTTGACAACTATTTTAATTCTTTTAGAGTGCACTGTAAGCTAAAGGCGACATAGACAGGACTGTAAGTCAGATAGAGGCCTTGGGCTGTCTGATTTCTTTCCCTGCTCTTCCAAGCTGACTCCTCATCCACCTTCTGTCCCCCATAGCAGGAAGTCCTGTTCTGAGTGACCCCACCATGGCAGGCCTGGGCACTGGTACTGAGCCCGTGGGGGACTCCATGATGGGGGCTGTTGGCCAAAGCTGAGGGACAGGGAGGCATGTCCTCACCCCCATGGTGACCCCCAACAGGTCTGCCTCTTTGGGAGCTCAGAGGTATCCCTACGGGACCATCTGCGGGCTGGGGCCTCGGAGGAGGAGCTGCTGAGGATCATCGGGGCTGCTGTGGGCAGGAAGAAGCGGCAGCATGCGGGTACGGGGTCGAGGTGGGGACGGCCGGGCTGAGTGGCAAGCAGGCCACTGTCAGCAGGAGGGAGGCCCATAGTTTCCAGGGAGAGGACAAAGGAAAGCCTGGGAGGGAGCCAGTGAGACCCCGTGCCGTCTTTGTTATTAATCACTCCTGCCACCTCTAGATGGGGGCGTGGTGATGGTTCTCCTTTCTAGGGGACATTGGCACAGCAGAGACTGCACAGGAGAGGGGACCCCCTAGTTCTCCTGGGCTGTTTTATTGGGCAGAAAGAAGAGGGGTGTCATTGCCTCTCTCATCCCACACATTGCCTCTGTCGGGGCAGGGTTCTGGTATCCAGACGCTGTTCTGGGCTCCATCTTGGTGACCTTGCTGTGTACAGTGGGGCCTTTTTGTCAGGGTGCCCATAGGTAAGCGCATGTCCCGCGTTGTCACACCACTGAGTCCTCCGTTTCAGTGAACTCTCCTTTCCCCGCCCTCTTCCCCTTCCCCTTCCCCACTGTCCTCTCCCTCCCCATCTCTCCCTCACCCCAGGCATGTTCAGTATTTCCCAGATGAAGAACCGGCCCATGATCCTCATCGGTGGGTGACCCATCAGTACGTAACCACTCACCCTTGTCAGTGGGGGATCCCGTGGGATGGGGCCCCTTCCGTAAGGCACCCACAGATCCTGCATCTCATCCTGATGTTCTCATTCTTATTTTTCTTGTATTCCTCCTTCATCTTTTCTTACCCCTTCAAGATGTACTGCTGCTTCTCTTCCCTGTTTCACCAAAACTCAGGGCAGGGGCTCCTCCAGATTCAAGATCACCAAGTTAGTTGTTGCCCTAAAGTGGAGCTTCTGGTTAAGACAGAGACCTTATCCTCAGGTCTAGATGCCCAGCCTGGGCAGTTACAGAAGTCCTTCCCTTCTGTGACTTGAGCCAGTCTGCGCATGTGTCCAGGCCATTGACACCCACTGGTAGGTGTATTGTTACATTTCTGTGCCGGGCAGAGACTGAGGCAGTAAGCTAAGAACATTACTCATCTTTTCAGGAAGGAGGCGGTCAGGATCTCCACTGCCTAATTCCTTAACTCCTGGGAGCTTACATGCCCAGGACATCTCTCGTGCACAGGGTGCTTCAAACAAAAAACACCCGTTTTATAAAGTCACATGTGATCCCTGACCCTGGGGAACTGGCCAATCGATGAGGAGCCTCAGGGGTGCTATTACCCCTCAGGCACAATGCTCAGGCTAGAGCAGGCAAGGCCACGGCCCCTGGGCCACAGCCAGATCTGCACCCCTGAATTACACCGCTAGGCAAGAGAAAGCAGTGAGGAAAATGACAGGGAAGGGATTATTTTCTCTAAAGCTGAGGAAACCCAGTGGCTCAGAGACAGCTCAGGGACCACCTCTGCACATGAGCCAACCAGAGAGGGCAGGGCAGCTGGCTCACCAAAGTGCCCCCCTGGGAAGAGCACTGTCATCTCTGTCCTCCCCTCCCTCCAGCATCGCAGCTCTCTTGCTGGACCTTGACCCGTGCTGACACCTCCTGATGACAAGGACTGGAGGATGCCTTGATGGCCCTGCTAGAAGGGAGGGAGTACCACTGACATTGACAGAGTAGGGGGTCCAGAGCGCCCTGGAAAGCTGGAATTTGTGAGACCTGTTTGCTTCATAAGGTACATTGCTAGTCTCAAGGATATAGAGTAACTAAGCTGGTGTGGTTTCTAAGCACCAGTTACTGCTGACTCTTCACAGAGAAGGTGAAGATGTGAGTTACTGTAATTGGTAGTTCAGGCTGAGATCTCATTACAGGTCTAAGAAAATGAGGGGGCGTGGAGAGATCTTCAGATCCGGGCTTCAGTCTCCAGACTATAGGTGATGTTTAAGAGAACTTTAGCAACAAGAAGGTTTCTGTGAGGCGGGACCAGGAGCAGCCCCACACCACCACTGCTGGGCAGCCGGTGGGGCCACTGCCCCGTGCAACACTTGGTGGAAGGGCTACACGCTTGTATTCTGGGCCCTGTACCTATTTAATTCTATTCTATTTAATCTCCTCACTATATTTTTTGTTCTTCATTCTCTTTCCCCAGTGTGAAAGGCAAGAACTTGAGATGGGGTAGGGAAGGGTTGGGAGAAGAGGTGGGAAAAACACTCGGCTCTTGGGTTTAGTCATTCTTCTTGTCCCTTCTTGCCTTCCAGAGTTACATCTGATGCTCCAAGATTCCCCACCAGCCGCTCCGAGCATCTCCTCCTGGGGTCCCCCCCATGTTCAAGGTCTGAGACACAGAGTGAGTTTCTCCAACCAGATGGCAACTTTGTGGAAAGGATGTGGGGTCCCCCAGACCCTCCCCCTTGCCCAGCAGCGGCTGGGGTCTGGCTTCTCTCAGAGACACTACTGTTCCCACTCAGACTCAGACACCAACCCAAAGTGCCTTAGCCCAGTGTCTGGGGCTTCTGCCACCCCCTCAGGACCCCTGCCAACGTCGGACCAACTAACCCATGTGGACATGGAAGGACGGGCAGCTATGGTGGATGTGGGGGGGAAGCCAGACACAGAGCGGGTGGCTGTGGCTTCGGCCATGGTCTTCCTGGGGCCCGTGGCCTTTCAGCTCATCCAGGAGAACCAGCTAAAGAAGGGAGATGCCCTGGTGGTGGCCCAGCTGGCTGGCATGCAGGCAGCCAAGTTGACCAGCCAGCTGATTCCTCTGTGCCACCACGTGACCCTGAGCCATGTCCAGGTGCAGCTGGAGCTGGACCGCACGCACCATGCTGTGGTGATCCAGGCATCTTGCCGGGCCTGGGGCCCCACTGGGGTGGAGATGGAGGCTCTGACCTCAGCTGCTGTGTCTGCCCTCACCCTGTACGACATGTGCAAAGCTGTCAGCAGAGACATTGTGTTGGGGGAGATCAAACTCATTAGTAAGACTGGGGGCCAGCGGGGCGACTTCCATCGGACTTAGAGTGTCTGCCCCACTCACCCATGGCCCAGCCAGGCCAAGAGCTGGGATGCAGTTTGGGCTGAGGGACAGATGTCAAGTTCCTTTCAGCCCATCAACTGTTTACCTTCTCCAGTAGGAAGCCAAGGTCAGCCCACACCTGGACTGCTAAGTGATGTATGACCTGCAAGTTCCTTTATTCAGAGAGAAAATCAGCAGGCCTTTCATTCTTCTTGGACACTAAGGTCACGGGTGAGGGTCACAAAGAGAAACACTAGAAAACTGGAACGTCACATTGTCTGAAATGCCCACAAATACAACCAGTTTCAGACAGTCCAGGCCATAACTTCTACTTCTCATTTCGGGTTTTCTCCTCTCCTACTTCCTGAGGAGAGAATAAGGGCTCAATAAGCAGAGGAACCCGCTTTGAGGAGGGAAGAGGCCAGCTCTGCCTGACCCAGTTTGGGGAGCCACAGCCCCTCTCCCCTGCCTCTCCACCTTCTCTCCGAGAGCCTGTTCTCCCCTCCTTTTGCCTGAGTCTGTGTCCCACAAACTTGCACTGCGCTGCCAGCCCCCTTTCCTCGCCCCCATGCTCTTAAGCAGGAAACATACACGGGCCGCGGCTGTGAGGACTCCTGCCAGCCACACATCCCACACCTGGCCCTGAGCACTGCGGTTCTACCCACTCCCTGCACTCCTTTATTCTGGAACATACCAGGGAAAGAAGAGAGTTGAAGACTGCCTTCACCCTCAGTGCACAAAATAAACCGGGATGCCAGCTTTGGAGATGTAAGACTCAGGACTGTATCTGTGCAGAGGGCCCCAAGCTGCCATAATTTCATGCCCACCCCTCAACTTCATAACAAAGCCATTCCTCTTTGGGGAAAGAGGAGGAGGAGAAATGCTGGAAAGGCTGAAGGGGCATATTCCCTATATATTCCCCTCTTCCCTGGGGGAGAAGGTAGGAATGTAACAGGAGTCAGAAAATGCACCATCCACAGTAAAAGTGTCAGCTGGGCATGTCCAAAGCTCATGGTGCCGGCATCGCTGATTGTCAGAGGCTCTCGGTGCACACATCCCCAGGCCCCGGGCTCTCTAATGTGGGTCGGCTTCTTTGGGTCCATCCTCAGTTGCACCCCTGCCCCCGCCCCACAGCCAGGTGTGCTAGCATATGTGTAATAACCAGCTCTTGGGAAAAGAAAAAGCAAAATTCTGTGTCCAATTTCAAGCTACCATATGACATGGACTGGCTTACAACATTCCTGAAGATGTAACAATTGGCACGCTCAGAGCTGGTACAGGCTGGCTCCAACACACAGTCCCCAGAACACTAAATCCCCTCGGGAAGAAGCGCAAGGTTCAAGGCAGGCTGGGGATGATACGGGTTTAATATTTTTTAGTATTACAATATATTCTTATAAAAAAGGTGCAGGTAAAAAGGATGCTGTAGATTTTGTACATGAGCCTCATTTGTTGTCTGAGACAGCTGGTGAGAGCAGCCTTGGCGTGAAGGTGTCCCCGCTGGAGGTGGGGGAGATGGTCACGGTGCCCCAGTTCATGGAAATGGGGTGGGGGTGGGGAGAGCCTGGGCCAGACTCTTCGCCATCCACCTGGAGAATCCTCTCGTCCTGCTGCCCTAAACACCCCTGACTTCCGGCACAGGAGGAGGAATGGGTGCTGCTGCTGAGACAGCGCCGGGTTGCAGTAGGTAACTGAATTTTATGTTGGACACAAAATTAGCTGAAATCTACCCAAAGGTGGCAGGAGGGGTGGGCAGGGCACTGGGGAAAGACCGAGGAGCAAATATAATAGGTGTAAACATTTAGCATCAAAGACCAACTCAGCCATCTCCCTGGGGGCACCAGCCCCGGTGTGCTGAGTCAGCCGTGATGGTCCATGGTCCAAGGCACTGTTACAGATCTGGCGACAGTGGCATCTGGTACCAAAGCCACTGGCCAGAGCTAGAAAATAATAAATAGAGAAGGAAAAATCTGGGGTGAGATGCCTGAGCCCGGGAACACTGCATGTGCCCTCTGTAAACAGTTAGCCAGACTGCTTTTCTGCAGAGCCAAAGTGCCTTGAACAGCTTCCGTGTTTCTTGTCTTCCCTGGTGCGTAATCCTGTCTTCCTGGTGGGTGGGAATGCCCGGGTTTGGACATACTTGCTAGACAGAAGTGGACCCTCCCCTGTTCCCTGGCCCTGCAGGTTATTTTGGCCTCATTCTGGCAGCTTGGGGAGGGCCTTCGGAGATGCCATCCATAACCCTCCTGTCCTTCCCAGCACCAGCTTCTCAATGCAGGGGCTCTTGGGTATAAGAAAGCTCTCTGCACCTGCCCTTCCTGGAAGCCTTCGTTTTGCCCTTGCCTGGACTCCAGGACAGCCTCTTCACACCCATCCTGGCCAGACTTGCCTTTGCTCAAATCCCTCCCCCCAAACCAACACACATGCTGGGCTCACCAACCCTGGGTTCCTTCCCCTGCAGCGGCTATGGCCCCATCCCCAGGAGTCTGATGTAGGGAAAAGATAGAAGGGCAGCTGAAGGGTGGGCCCAGCCCACCAGTCTGTCCGCTGGCAACAGCCCTGAGCCAGAGGAGCAGGTTGGAAGGCGAGACATAAAGCGAAGGTTACGGAGCTGACTGATGAAGGGTCTGTAGGCTGGGCTCAGGCACAGGAAGAAAGGTCAACTCCAGGGGGAGGGAATGTAGTAAAAATAAGATCCTCGATGGAGTTGACCTCACCTTCCTTCTTGTAGAAGAGAGAAAATTTTGTTTAGACACAACCATCATTCCAACCCTGAAGGACAGCTCACGATGGGCCGGATGGAAGGTGAGAGGAGGTGGGAGGGGGGTACGGGCCCCTTGGAAGTCAGGCCGGAGAACCAACCTGGGGACCGGAGATGGGGTAGGAAGCCCCTGTCTCCCACCCCTTGGCTCCTTCAGGCAGTGCACTCCCCGGAAGCTGGCCTTCCTCCTCCGTCCGCCATCTCCCCAGCTCGCCTGCCTGCTCTGGCCCCAAGTCTGAAAACCTCAGGAGGAGGCGCCCTGAGGGAAGGTGTGAAGATGCCGAGGGCAGCTCTGGTCCTCAGGAGCCTCTCAGGAACTAACACCCCAGGGCCAGCCTCAGCCACACACATGTGGCGAGGCGAGGCGAGGTAGTCGCCTGCAGGCTGGATGGAGTGGGAGGTCACTGCGGCTTGTGCCCTGAGGCAGATGTTAGAGAAAATTTGGGGTCTGAGAAGCACTGAATGGTAGGCAAGGGAGCGCTAGGGTGTCGCTAGACGTTCAAGTGCTGCCCTCTGGTGATGGGCTATCAGAAACTCCTAATCGACATGTGAGGTCACCTTCTCACTTCAAGACACCTATCCAGCTGTACAAGGGAGGTGGGGGGCAGGAGGGGGAGTTCCAGGGTCCCTACAGCCAAGGCACAAGGTGTCATGAGTGGGATCTTTCTCAAATCCCTTCTCTTACTGGATTCATCAAATACCTGATAGTAAGCCATAGTCGTGGGAACCCAAAGGTAAGTTTTTCTGGGATTCTGGGTTAGTAAACAGGATGGAGGTGGCAGAAGGAAGGAAAGGGGGAAGACTTAATGCAAGAGAGGGGACAAAGGACTTGTGATGTAAGGACCAGACACTGTTGCCTGTCTGATGACTCTGTCCCTGCATCATCCTCCCAGCATTTTTTTTTTCTGGAACGTACCTAGCTAGAATATATAATACCTCTTCCTTTTCCATCCAAGAGGAAAGTCTGCCCCCAGATCAATGTTCGGTTAAGCCAGCTCTTGAGAGTTTGGAGCCTGGATTCTCACCCTGGCCCTCGGGGCCACCTGCCGCTCCTCCCCTCCGCACACGCAGTTTGACGGGTCTGTGCGCCTGTCCAGCCTACATGTGGAACAGTTCTGTGCCCACATGGAGGTGCCTGTGCTGGGGGTGGGAAACCTGCTAGGGACGTCCAGCCTTAGAGAGTGACCCCAGGGGGGGCAGGATGCAGAAAGAATCATGGAAGAGGAGGAGAGGAGCCCCTTCAGGTCAAGTGTGCGGAGACCCCTGGTCCTGCCACGCACAGCCCCGGCCCAGGACCCTCCCAGGGCTCTAAACGAGCCCCAGATGGTTTCAGGATCACATGCCTCCACTCAGCCCCTCTTGCTCCATCCCTGTCCCCCAGCCTCCTGCTGTGGCCAGTCCCCAGGTCAATAATTTAGCCTGCTTATTGCCCGCTCCCGGGTAGCTTCCAGGGCTTGGCTCCCTGACCGCTTGCGGCTGCGCCTGAGTTTGCACAAGTCCTTGTCAAAGACTTCCCCGGAGCGCAGGGCTGACACCAAGTCATCGAACTCGCCTCCTTCCTCCAGCGTGCTGCCCGCCGGGACCTGCCGCTGTCGCTGCCACCGTTCCCGCTCTCGCTGCTCCTTCAGCTGCAGGGCAAGGAGGGAGTGAGGCTGGCACCCCCACTGCAGTTCACGAGTGATGCCTCCCGACCAGGGGCTAATCCTCACTGCAGCCTTGATGCTTGTGCTCCCAGGGTCCCACTTCTCTCCTTCCCAGGACGCCCCATGCCTCCCACCTTCCACTGCTGTCTCCCGTGGGGCTGGCAGGGGCACCTACAGTGTTTCTCAGTCCCTGACCTCTTCTCCCTGGAAGCACCGCACCGAGACCAGCCTCTGTCCCCTCGGGCCCAGTGCAGCCCTCTCACCATGGCTTCCATGCGTGCCCGCCGCTCCTCCTCCTCCTTCCTCCTCCTCATGGCCTCCAGGTCCTGCCTGGCCTCCGAAAAGGCCTGCAGGAAGGTGTCAAAGATGCCAAAGAATTCATCTGGCTGCATCTTGCTGTCATGCTCCCCAAAGTGCATGAGGGCCTTGGAGAACTGTTGTGGGGAGAAGGATTGGCAGAGACTCACCCCTGCTGAGCACGGTTATTATGCTCCAGCCAGAGCAGGGCCCGTCCAAGGCTGGGGCCTTTGGCATGGGGAGCAGGCCTGGAGGGGGTGACCCCCATTATCACTGGGGTAGGGACAAGGCTGAAGGAAAGGTTTGAGGCTGGCACCCTGGAGAGATGGGGGACCTAAGCGGGCTGACAGGCTGCCCAGAGCACCTCTGGGTATGTGACGGTGTATGTACGGGATCAGAGGCTATAGACCTTGAGAAGCCCTTCCTAAGGTCAGGAACTGCCTGGTAAGAACTCAAAAGAACCTCAGAGATCTTATTGTTATTGGACTAGTTACTTAACCCGTCGATGCCTTAGTTTCTTCATCTCTAAAGCAGGGATAATAATAGCACCTACTTCATAGGGAAGTTGCAGGGATTAAGTTACAGATACAAAGTGATAGCTATATTTATATTAGTCAGGCACTGTTCTGACTTTTACTGAGAGCTGCCATCTCTAATTGAACCCACTCAAAATCCTCCAAGAAAGACCTCACCACTCAGTATGCTCTATTACCAGCAGCACAGGTATCTCCTGGGAGCTTGTTAGAAATGCTGAGTCTCAGGCCCCACCCCAAACCTCCTGAATGAGGACCCACTACAGATAGGGTCCACATGCATGTGTGAGAAGCAGGAAGCAGCATAGCAACTGAGACCAAAGTTGAGCTCTGGAATGAGGATTCTAGCCCAGTTCTGTCTGTCCCACCTGGGCTACCTTGAACAAGTTACTTAACCTCTCTGGATCTCAGTGCATATATCTGTCAGATGGTCTAATAACTTTTCAGCAAACCCGTAAGGTAGACAATGAGACAAACATTGTGAAACACTTAACAGTGGTGCCTGACACCTGATGACACCTGACCGTGATCTTTGTGTCAGAGTTGCTATTTTTTCCTAGGAGTGAGGAGCTGGTTTTTTCCCCAAAGCTCTATGACTCTGGGTTTGTCCCTTCTGGGCTACCTGTGACAGGAATGGGTGAAGGGGCTGTGTCTACGTAAGGCTGAGCTGGAGGGGAGTGGGGGCAGGGTTAGGCCGGGGGTCAAACTGAGGGCTGGGGTGCCCTCACCTTGTCCTTGGCCTCACTGAGCTGGTCCTCCAACTCTGAGAAGCTAAAGCTGGACACTGTGATGAAATCACTCATGACGGGGACAAACTTGTCATTCGGCTCCCGCACCTGGCGCCTCTGGTATTCCAGCTCCTGAGGAAGGAGAGTGGGTGCTGGTTACACGGCTACTGGGATAAAAGCCAGGAATCCTGGGGGGGGTCCCATATCTACCCTCCTGGCCAGTCACAGATACTGAGCCTGCCTTTGGAAGGGAGAATCCCTGGAGTCTCGCAACTCTGAGGGTGGTAAAGATGGTGAGAGCTGTCAACCAGGGTGCCCTGCCTCTCTGCCTTCCTGCCCCCAACCACCATCTGTCTTCCTCTGGAGCCTTATGACCCAAAGTGTGCTCTAGCACCAGAAGTATCGTCGTCTGGGAAATCTGAAGAAACACAGACTCTCAGGCACCACCCCAGACCGACAGAACTGCATTTTAACAGGACCCTCAGGTGACTCGTGTGCAGATTCCAGCATGAGATGCATTCTAAATCTCCAGGCTGTGTGCATGCTGCTGGGTGGTGGTCATGCTTTGGGTAGCTCTTTAAAGGGCTGTAAGTTGGCAGTCAGCCCTCTTTCCCCCATCATAGTGGCAATGAGAGGTTCCCCATAGTGAGCCAGCCCAGCCTAGGGCTGGAAGTAGTGTTGTCTGGGAAGGCATCAGAGCAGAGATGGTGGCGTCCCCAGCAAAGTGTGCAGCCCCACAGTCCTCCACTGGTCCAGGGATAAGGTGAAGAGACATAAGGCAGGATCTTCTGGGGACAGCAGTCCCCAGTGTCATATAATGTGTTACCTGCCCAGACCTGCTTCCAAGGGATATGGATCCTCTTTCCCATGCACTTGAATTAAACTTAACCATGTGGGCAATTTATGTTCATTCCACTCCACGGCCCAGTGGACATGTTAGTGACCTGGCTAGTTGAGAGTCTAAATTGAATCCCCAGAAAACCCAGTCGTCCTTTCCTGAGGGCTGACTCTGCTAGAGGCTGTACCCTCTGTGCCAGTTCTACCATCTCAGCCAGGTGCTTTGGGCCACAGAAATGCATCAGACAGAGCCTGGGGACCCACTGTCTGCCCCAGTGACGGGCAGCAGAGTGGACAGCTTTGCCTCTGGCAACATCCCCTCCAACCTAGGCAGGCACAGATTATGTACTCACCACCTCGACTGCTCTGAGGCCCCTCCTGAGGTTGCCCACCTCTTTCTCCAGCTCTGCCAGGCTGTGGGGGAACACAGAGGGAAGGAGAGGAGCTGAGGGTAGTTTGGGGAGAGGGCAGTGCAAAGCACAATGGCCTGGGAGTCAGTGGCCAGAGCAGGGCTGGAACACACATCCATGAACCTGCGGCAGCCACCTCCCTCCATGCTCTGGGCTTCTATAAGCTAATGGGTGAAATTTATGTTCTGTAGATCCTTCTAGATCAGAAATGTCATGCTGCATATTCGAGGGTTCCAACATATGGCCCCTGGCTTAGACTGATTCATGTTTACTTCTGGGTATACTTACAAGCTCTGAACATGGTATCTTGCATGCAGTAACCATTTGATGCATATTAGCCATGTACCAGGGCATGTCTGCTTCTACTGGAGATGCTCCTGTCAGTGTATGTTTAGGTCTGACTTCTTGCCTATAGCAGTTGCTGTCAGAGCCCTACCCATACCTCCTTGGGTCATCCATTGGAGTACGCAGTCCTGAGATCCAATTGTGTGAGCAACTTTTTCTGGGGACAAAATTCCCCCACACAATTGTACCCGTGGCCAGAGAGTTATGCCCCCACCAGAATCCCTCAGCCAGTGACTGACAGGAAATGGTGTACAAGGTCCCAGCTCCCTTGCTCTTTGGGGGGTTTAGTGGAGTGGGTAGCCTACACTGTGTCCCAGACTTCGCTGGAGGGATTAAGCTCCAGGTGCCTCCAGTGGTAATGGGCTTAGTAACCCTTCCATCATTGGCATTCTTCCCATCCCTGACTCACTTCCCCTCTCCCGACTGTGTTTCCTGGGAGCTTCTCTGGGACAAGGCTTTGAGAGCAAATAGTCTTGTCTTCATTTGGTTCTCTTAGAGGCAGACCCAGAGACGCTGCTTATTCCTACTCAGGCCAGAGCAACCCCGAGGGAAGAAAGTTAGGTAGGAGTGTGTGTGATCACAGGGAGAAGGAAGCGACCCCTCACTTGACTTTAGCGGCTTCCGGGAGATGCTGCAGCTCTGAGGGCATATTCAGGAGGTCAGGGAAATGCTTCTCCAGGATCATGATAAGGTAATGGAGCAGGGAGATGTTTCTGTGGATGAAAGTCGGGCGTGGGGGAATGAGGATCAGGAGGGAACCAGGGAAAGAGGCAGTGGCGGAGGGGTAAGGCGGAGGAGGGAAGAGGCCAGGCTGGGGTAACGCGGGGGCTAAGCAAGCAGGCAGGGCCCCACCTGTCAATGCTGGACTTGGTGTCAGCAATCTTGTTGAGACTGGCCACCCGGAACCCATAGGCGCCCCCACGCTGCCCTTTGTTCATGAAGTTGCCAATGGCCAGGACGACCTCTAGCATCTGCATTAGTCGCTTGCTGCGGATCAGCTCCCGGGAGGCCAGCAGGATGGCTGGGAGAGGAGGGCAGGATCAGAGCCCTGTGTAGACTGTGCCGGGGCAGCTGGGCCCCTTGTGTTCCAGGACAATGCCACCACAAAATCCAGAAAAGGGACTGCAAGTATCCTCAACTCTCCGCTGGGCAGAGACTGCCGGTGACTCCGCAGCACGCCACCTCCAGCGGAAGCAAATTTACCACAACCTAGTTTGCCAAATAACCCCATTCTTAGAACATACCAACTCTTCCTAAGAATAAAACTGAGAATATCTTTTCTTGCATATATTTAAAGATTGTTAATATATTCTTTCTATGGATATCCACAAGAACATATTTTTTACTTTTCTAAATTTAGTGATTAGAAATTGAAATTTCAGCATTTTAGATATTATGAATTGTTTCTGCCTCTTTCGAAATGCTGAATTTTACTGATTTTTTTGGAGACAAAAATATCCCTGTCAATCAAATTATAAGGTATCAGAAATTGTAACATTCCCATATTTTTGTTGTATGAGAGAATGGTGTGTTTTATAGATGATGGTACCTGATTTAATAGGTTACCTGACGTCCTGTTGAATATCATTAAAATTGTTGCCAACCTTTAGGCATTTTAACCATTTCCCTCCCAATGCCTTAAATGATACATTTGCTAGAAATACAGACTAAGGCTAACTGCAACCGAACCTTCAGCATTTTGGTCCATTGTGGATGGTCCAGCTCTTCCTCAGCTGCAGTGTATATGGCAGACGTGCAGAGTGGGGCTACAGATCCTACTCTGCAGTTTTGGCTACTAGGTATGGAATACACTTTATGATCATTAAATGTGTTGATAAGAACAGCAAAGCATCCTATGATCTTTTGCTTATGCCAAACTGCACATTCCTGAAGATGCTGCAGTGAAGATAAAATGAGAATCATCTGACTGAAAGCTTGCAGAAATTTTCAAAAACAGTTAAAAATAAGTATTTGTACAAAAAAAACTATGAAAGTAAGTAGCTTTCAAAATTGAATGTGAAGAATCATCAGACTGTGTTTATAATAGCTCAATAAGCGAGTTAAGTTAGACGATTTATGATTTTCACAACAAAAAGTTGATAAACAACCGAAGCACGATGTGGAAGAGTATGTAGGGGTGAACTGCATGGTATGTGACTATATCTCAATAACACTGTTAAGAAACAGCAAGTTATATAGAGTTTGCTACCTTTGGAAGTATATGTGAATCCTATACGGCATTCAATATAGAATAAAAAAACTACAAACAATGAAAAAAAAATTGAATGTGGACATGGTCTGTGACCTAAGCAGTATTACTCTGATGGGTATTTGAATGGTTTCTAGTTGTTCTTTCTTAAATTGTACATGGATTGGATAAATAAATTAGGGTATATTCATAGAGTGGAATAAAATGCTGTACTGAAAATGAATCACCCACTGCTACATGTAATAGTAGGGATAACTTAAAATCATAATGTTAAGCAGAAGAAACCAGCATAAAATTATTCATACTATATTATTCCATTGACATAAAGTTCTAGATAGACAAGGGAGAAAGTAATGGTTGGAGGGGCTAATGTTCGAGAAGGGGACATGAAGTGGGGCTCTGAGGGAGACTGGAAACTTTCCATTTCTTAACCTGGGTGTTGATTACACAAGTGGGTTCACCTTAGGATGGTTCATCAAGTTGGACTCCTGTGATCTGTGTACTTTTTCTACATGCATATTTCAATTAAAAAGTTTTAAAGAAGCTACTTATAAAGGCTTCTGGCATTTACATTGGTCTGGATGGTTTTTCTAAGATTGGTATGCTATTTGAAAAATTTGCAAAGGAATCCTCCAAAAAATGCTAAAATGTTGGCAAAACAGAAAATGACAAGAGTTCAAAGGAAATTGGGGTAAATGGGAAAACTTCCATATGCAATGAAGACATTTTTGGTATAGTCATAAGAATAATATATTCATGAATATATTCATAAGAATATGTTTACATTTGAAGCCATATTCACAGTGAATGTATTCATAATGAGAATTGTTAAGCTTGGTATATTCAGTAATGAACATATTCATCAGTTTATATTCAAGAATATATTTAAGAAGAATATGTTCATGAATGTATTCATAGAAGAATTGGTAAATTTGTCAAATTTGGTGAAATGGCTTTTAGCCATTTGACACAGAGGCCCTGATGGGGAAGAGGGCATGGGGGGATGGGCTGCCAGCTCATCAATCAGCTGGGATAGGCCAGATCTTAGCTCTTCCAGGACTACTTCCTGGGAGAACTGGAAGAAGGAACAGGAGCCCCAGCTCCCATGCAATCCTCTTGTTTCCACCCCGAGTCAAGCCCACTGACATGATTCTGTAAGATACAACTTCAACCACCTTGTCCCAACTCTTGGGAAGCTGAGTATGTTCATTGCTGAATATACCAAATTTAACAATTCCCATTATGCATACATTGACTGAATATAGTCACCATGAAATGGTTTCAAACGTAAACATTCTTATGAATATATTATTTGCATTCTAGAACAGCAGCCATTGCAACAGCAGAGCGATCACCTTCCCCAGCAGGTTTTGCCATCCAAAACACATTTGCTCTGCTTAGCTTGACATTAAAGGGAGAATTTCCTGAGCATCTAGTGACTATTTCTTACATAGAGCTTGGAAATGGGAGCTCCTAGGAGCAGGAAACCATCTGAGGTCAAACTTAGCTGGTGGCTCGCTACTTTGGTACCACAGCAAAAAATGGCAATTGCTCACATTTGGTCACTGACCCAGGACACACAGTTGAGCACATAAGTCTTGGGCTAAACCCCTTATCTGGGTCCCATGCCCCAAAGGCAGGCTGCTGCAGGACAAAGAATGTTATGTGAAGGTGAGAATTTGCCCATCACCAGGCAGGTAGTACCACCAGATGCAAGACCTGGACAGTCACCTTTCTTCTTCAGACTGGTCACCTGCGATCACAGCCAGCTTGCGTGTGTGTGTGCACGTGCGTGTGCGTCAGGATCCAGATTACAGAAAACACCTGTCTCCAACTCTGTCATGCCCCACTTACTCCCAGAAGCCACCTGAAGTAGCTCATTGAGCACCAGAAAGGGCCATTTTCTGGACTGGCCATCCCAGGAAGTGTGGGCCAGCCCTGATGTCAGCAGAGGGGCCCGTGCTCTGCCCTGCCCACAGCCAGTGCCCCTCAGCCTCTGGGCTCTCTTTCCCACTCTGCCAATCCTGTGCTCACCACAAATGAGCTTCACCATCTCTCCTGCTTCTCCCTCCGGAGTCCATATGGCCACCCACTATCCTGACCACCTGCCTTTTCCCCCAAATCCCCACCCCTCCTTCTTCTGCCATCCTCTGGGGAGTGCTACAGGACACGAGTGAAGGGATGGAATTTGAAGGACATCTGCCTCTCAATCTGGGCTCTACGCTCACCAGCAACACGGTCTCAGACAACGTATCTCCATTCATTGTTTGAAAGAATGGATGAAGCCAGAGGGCCGCTGTGAGGGCCAAAGGAGACCATCCACGTGCTTGGTCCATGGTTCTCATTTAATAACAAATTGCTTATCTGGAAAAGGAGGAGGGGTTCCCCAATCCAGAAAATCAGATGCCTCCCGGGATCACCTTGCCAATTTCCTTTTCTGAATAGTCCACACTTCAAATAATGTGCCTGGAGGTTGTCCACGAACTTAGTGCCTCTAGAGTATGGTGAAGATTGATGAGCTCCACACATGCCAGGCACTGTGTTAGGTACTTGCTAGCACCATCACCTGTGCCTTATTTCTGTCCCAAGCTGGGGCAGATGTCACCAGGTCCCCCACCTTAGAGAGTCTGCATAGGGCACATGAGTTTGGCACGTGTCTAATATAAACAAGTGCATATATCTACCATAATCATAGTTTCAAATTTTCCCCTTGACTTTGGTTTTTTTGTGGCGGGATCAAGAATAAGAAAGGAGTTTTACTCTGCCCTGTTCAGTGACTCCCACCAGAGGGCTCCTCCACACCCTCAGCCATACCTTCCACTTTGGGCTTGGCCTCAGTCAGCCGCTCCTGGAACTTCTTCTTGAAGAACAGGGCCTGCAGCCGCTGCTGGTAGTGGTCGATCCTGCGGACAGGGTGCGGTACGTCACGAGGAGCACCCCCCACCAGACCCAGGAGCCGGCTCCCGCCTCCCCCTTAGCCCGGCCGCACCCAGCCCCTCCTGCCACGATCCCTGCCCAGACCTGCTCATTTCGTAGAGGAAGCGGTCAGCGCGGGCCATCCGCTCAATCTCATGCTTGTGCTCCTCCAGGAGGTCAACGTCGCTCTTCTCTGGGATGAACTTGAGGAGCTGCAAAGAGCAGGTGATGCTCAGACCAGAAACTGGTGAAAAGCTGATCTGGGGGCACAGCGCAAGGAAGTCCATACACCGACCAGGCCCAAGATAGGGAGGGGCACCTTCATGTGGCTCGTTTACATTTCATCTGCCTCAAGGGGCCCAAAGCACCCAGCTCTAGACTTCTTCTCTTTCTTTTTTTACTTCCTAAAATTGAGATATAACTTATATGTAGTAAAGTATACTATTCTTAGGTGCACAGCTCAGTGATTTCCCTTTTTAAACCAACTTTTTTTGAGGTATCATTTACATAAAATAAAATGCACCATTTTATATGTAATGAGTTTTGATGAAACTATCCACATACTGAACCACCATCCAAACTAAGATACACAAGATTTCTATGCCTCCAGAAAGTTCCTTTATGCCACTTCAATAAGCCAACCACCCCCACCAATCCACAATTTAGCCTCTCAACTGAATTCTGTCACTTTAGATTAGATTTTCCTATTCTTCAACCTCACATCCATGGACTTATGCTGTGCATTCTCTTGGTATCTGGCTTCTTTGCTCCACATAATGTCTGAGACTCACCCTTGCTGTAAGTATTGGTAATTTGCTTTTTTTAATTCTTTGCTGAGTGGCATTCTATTGCAGAAATATACCACAGTCTATTCATTCACTCTCTTACTGATGAACAGTTGGGTTGTTCACAGATTAGGGGTTTTGTAAATAAAACTGATAAATATTCTTATGGATTTCTTTCAGTCAGTATTTGTACTCATTTCTCTGTATCTCAGAGTGGTATTGTTGGTTAATAAGGTGAGTGCATACCCAGTCTTGGTGTGTACTGCCAAATTGTTTTCCAAAATTATTGTATCCAATGAGAATTCCAGTTGCTTTACATCCTTGCCAATGTTTGGCATGGTCCATCTGCTCAATTTTAGCTGTTCTGGTGGGTGTGTGGTGCTATCTCATTGTGATTTACTGTATTTCTCTGATGACTAATAGCATGAGGCATCATTTTCCATATTTCTCTGATGACTGATAGTATGGAACCCTTGGAAATTCACTTTCAAAATGTACCTGTTCAAATCTTGTGCTCATTTTTTAGTGGAGTTTGTCATTTTCTGATTTGTAGAGGTCTTTATTCTGAATATGAGATCTCTGCTACATATACACAGGGCAAACATCTTCTGGGGCTTGGCTTCTCTTTTCACCCTTGTAATAGTGTCTTTTGATGAACAGGAGCCTTAATTTTAGTGAAGTCCAACTGACGGGTTTGTTTGGTGTTTTTGAGGTTTCCCTTGCAGGACTGAGCAAATTGAGGTGAAAGGGATTCAGGGCAGATATGAGCACAGGTCACTCCGAGCCTGCGCTGAGGCCCATGGGAGTGCATGCCTCCCATCTCCTTTCAGGGTCTCCATCCCCTGGATGAGATGCAGCCTGTCTGGCCTCCCCTCAGGAAGGCCAGCAAGGTAAGTGTCTCCAAGCCTCTCCCTGATGCCCCCAGCCTCCAGCCTGATTTCCCCTTGACCTAAGAGTCTCGTCCCACCTGGGAGCTGCCAGGAAGGTGTATGGCTGGCCCCCTGGTTTCAGCTCCCCTCCTCTCCCTACTAGGGGCCTTACCTGCTCCAGCATGTCCTTAGCAAGGTCCTCCTGCTCATCCATCTTCAAGATGGCCTGCCGGATCTCCTCGTTAGAAAGCTTCAACCTAAGGTAAAATCCCACCACCCCTTGAGCAGCCTGATCTGGCCCAGTGCATAGGACAAACCCCAGGCCACCTCCTCCAGAAGACAGAACCCCAGGCTTCCCTCTCCCCTTATGTGAGCATGGGAGCCCATTCCATAGTACTCCCTCCTCACCTCCTCTGCAAAGCCTGCTCTGACTAGGCCAACAGAGGTCACTCTGCAAGCCCAGTGGTGAGGTATTTCAGTCTGTAAGCACACTTGAGGCTTGGGTCTCAGGTCTCTCGCTTGAGTCTCCATCATAACGGATGGGACATAGGAGCAAAGGGCTATCTTCAGTGTAGACTGAGAGACAGGACAAAGGGTTTCTGACCCTTCTCCTCATGCCTAAAATATCTAGTCTCTCCATGGGAGGATGAGTTTCCTGCTCCCTT